ACTTTTAACTTAACTTAAGTTATTATACTTATTAGTCTACTACTATATATATATATATATATATATATATATATATATATATAATTAACTAAAACTAGCTATTGCTATCTATAGTATGAAAACATCAGTAGATAGAATACAAAATATAGTACTGTAGCAACAAACATGAGGGAAGCTCAGAAGTTCAATTATTGTTTACTGTGTTGAATATGTTCCATTTGCTGGTCAGATGTGTGTATGTGGAACAAAAGGTGGGGACATGTGCTAAGAGTGGATTTGTGTTTTGTTTAAGTTAATAAAAAGAAGAATCAAACAGTGATTTTTATTGCTGGTGCTAAGAAGAGTCACTGCTATAATACCTTCTACATGGTTAATTACTCCATAAAGTAATGCAGTGTTAAAACAGTCTTAAAATACTTCATCACATCAATTTTGAAGTAAATTCTCTACCTAAATAGTTTGACCAATAGAAAATAAAATTACATGAACTGTATGTACAGTAAATAAATGGATAAATACTGTATTGATAATATGATATCTACATATATTCCAGCACATCAACTAAATCCTTCAGTGAAATGAGAGCAAGAACAGAAAAACAGTCTGAGGGAAGTCAAAGAGGAATACACTACATGGCTCTGTGTCAAATTCAAAATTATCAAAATAACTAGTTTGACACAATTTATATACAGCTACAGTAAAGAAATCAACTTGTACATACAGAAAATTATGACTTTCACTCAAGTTACACTGCACACACTTAATTTTTCTGTCTCTTGCTCAATTGCATTAAAAAAATGCTCACTTACAGTTCACTACTCAGAAAACTTTATAATTCATTCAAAGTTTCTTTCATCACAATGTAAGTGTTTTAAGCTAATCAGGACTTACAAATCTGTACTCTAAAAGAAACTAAGAAGTGCAGTACAGAAGTGGAGCCTGAATCATTAGAGTTCAATCTTGAGTGGAAAGAGCAAATCATGTTTGTCTTTTAAACTTTGGGTTCAGCAAAAAAAAAGAAAAAAAAAGAAAAAGACAATAAAGGGGTAAAAAGAAAAAGGGCCCTGTAAAACAACTACTAGTAAAGATGATGTAAACTGCTTGTTGCAGTAGCAGTCAGCTCTCTCTGCCCAAAATAAAAAAAAAATGATGCAAATAAAAGAAAAGTGTTTCAGTCTCATTAGAAAGACACCTGGCCACAGGTAATTTTTAAAGAAAGTCAGTCCCAAGAAGAAGCAGTCTGTATTGAGAGGTTTGCCTGAAAAATCCTACAATAACAGCAAGTCCTTCTGTACCAGGCAAGAATGCTTTCTTGAATAGACATGATTAGTTCCATATTGAACCAATCAGAGCACCTGAGACCAGTAAAGTACACATGCAAACTGAAGAAGGTGAAAAAGAAGAGATTAACATTGCTGTTTAACAATTCATACTTATTTGCTAATAAGGGCAAAGCTCTCCCAGACATGAAATTCTTGTGCAGAGCAATGGAGAAGGCTAGTGTGGATACAGGAGACAATTACACCAATGGAAAGAAAGCCTCTAATTTCCTTAGGTACGAGGCAAAAAGATCTTAAACCTGACATCAAGGATTTAGTTAGTGGATCAAGGTTCATCCGTATTGTAGCTGATGGGAGTGCAGATAATGCTATCACTGAACATGAAACTGTTTTAGTAAGGACTGTCAGTGTAAGAATGCTCTAAAACAAGCACATGCATTAAATACCCTAGATGGTGCTGTCAACAGAATTAAGAAGCTGTTTTTGGATTTGACAGATTTGAAGTCTTCCAAAAAACTAGATGCAGCTGATATGATGGATTCCAAAAGGGGGGTGTTGCAACATTACTATATATATAAAAGATATCCCATTTCTACTCTCACCGAGTACCTCAAAACCTTCAGCTGACAATCCCTACAATTTTCCGTTTGAAGAAACTATGATGAAATGGATTTTTTAAATTTTGCTGGAATAGCCCAAAAATGAGAAAAGACAGAAAAGAAATTGCAAGAGTTATAGATTTTGTACATTTCAGTGACATGAAACAGGTGTGATGGATCCCAAGCAAAGAAATAATTCAACTCTACCATCAGAACCTACAGGACAGACTCCAGCTGTGGGAGGAGGGTACTTTAGTTGTGCAATATGGACTTGTATGCACACCTCAACTCTACTGAATACTTTGGCTGCAGAAGGAGAGCAGAGTTGTATAGTGTGTTGACGTCAACTTTACTGAACAGAATCAGATTGCAGAAAGAAGGCACAAGTGATGTGTATCAGAGGTGACCTGCACAACACTCACAATGTCACCACTGCCCCACTTCTCACCATACTGGTACTCCTTTACATCCCAGCAGTTCAGTCCAATCAGTGAAGGTTCTCCATAGTTCAAAAACCCAGCAGTTAGAAAATGGTAAAAGACAAGAGTTTCACATGTTCCACTTAACAAGGGGGGGATCCCAATAGAAAGTGCCTGGATCCCCACTGGTCCTTCAGTCCAGAAAGGTCTTTTACCAGAGACAGTGCAAAAGATGACTGCAAAACCTTTTGACTACCACCCAGCTCATAACCAGGAAAGTATCTATGAGAGTAACTGTATATATAATTTTTGAAAATGTACACAAGTCTTTACAAAATTTTGCAGATTATTAGTAAACATTACAAGGATTTCATGCACAACATATCTGGTATTTGAATTATATTTTAAGATATTTTTTTTATTAAAGATTTGTTCATGAATCTTTTCTTTCAGAATAGTAATTATCCAATGTACAAAGTAATTTAGATTTTAAGATCAAAAATACTTTTTATCTGAAATTTGTTAAGTTTCATTTGCATAATCTCTATATCCTCCTAGATAATCAAACATTTTTTTAAATAAAATTTTATATTTAATCTGTTATTTTATCAATATGAACTCTATATGGTGTTGATCGATTTGACTGACCTTGTAACCATCATAAAAATTAGGAAATAAATCTAAATTACCTTTTGTTCTAGAAATATATGCAAATTGTAATAGGAAACCTCAAATGTATATTCTAAATAGCTTAAATCTCTTAAGAGTATAAATCTATTCATATTTATTTAATTTTTGGTTTACTGACCTTTGAACTGTCTCTGACTAAAAATACCCCAACAGAAGTTAAAAATTACACAGTCCACGTGCATTGACATGACCCTATCAAACAGCTTCTGGCACATATACCCCATGAAGGTTTATTATTTTTCTTTCATTATCTTACCTAACAACTTTCTATTTTTATGATTTTAGTTACTTTTATAACAATAAACAGTTAAAACAAATGAAAAATAAAAACCTCGTAATTAAATATCAAACATTATTATTTTCAGTAAAACTTTATATTTTATTTCAAAATAGTATATTTAAGGGTTTTAAACTCACAAAAAAGAAACCTATCATTCTATAGGTATTTGTTGTTAAAAAATGTTTAAACAACTCTATTCATTTATATTTTATTTGTTAGTTTTTGTACTGTAACATTAAACTTATTTCTCCAAGTTGTTATGTTAATAATCAAAGTATAACGAAAATAAAGGTTTGAAAATAAAATGTATAGTATTGTTAGTGATTACAAAATTTCAAAGTACTTATGGTCAGAGTTTATGCTCTCACCTTTTCACACTTATTTTCTGTAGTTATTTTATTGCTAGTAGATGAGTTAGAAATTGTCCCTTAAGAAACAAATTATTCACCAGCAAACTGCAAGTTCAACTGAGTGTTTATATAAAGATGTTCTTTTTCATGTGTTAAGATCAGTTGATCAGTGATAAATTTGTCTTAGACTTTCACAAATTACATAAATACACTTTTCCTGAATTGCCAAGTCTTTAGTTTTGTATAATTTGTTTCTATTCTACCTCAATGTAAAACAGTTGAAAAATAACACTAGTTCTTACTTTGTCAAATACAGAAACATACTGGCTACCATACATTACATGTTTTCAAATAAATACTGAAATGTCAGTTATTTGCTAACCCTTGTCCAAATTCACATATGGAGATAGAAAAATAATTTTTGTAGAATTCATATAAGCATTTTGGAATACAAAAAAAAATAAAAAAAATTATAAATTACTATACCAATACCCCAAAAATCCAGTCATTTATTAGGCTTCCTAACTAATTTGTACTTGGGTCTAGAAAAATATAATTTCTATTCACAAAACAGCTTTGATAGCAGTACTTCAAACTTTCCAATGATATAAGAGCATTTATAGTAAAATCAGTTTACAAGTATATACATTATTTCAACATTTATACACATAAAAAGATTACTTAACTTTACACTTTTTTTCTTAAAAAAAAAGTTTGGCTTAGGTTAGTTTACTTCATTTTACAAAAACAAAAAGTAATATCTTTGTACAAAATGCAGAACATGCATCAAGCAGTTAGTTACATCAACTATAAATAACACAGATGAACTTAGATAAAAATAGAATGAGCCAAGCCTGATTCTAATAAAATGCAACCAATGGCAGAGTTGGAAGTATTTTGGTCTGAATGTCTTCTAATATTAGGTTGCACCTTTGTTAATAGGCTATGCAAAAACCAGTGTTAAGGTAAGGCTTTTACATGAAATTGTGCACATATTAAACTTTAATATGACTTTATTGTTTTTTTGTTTTTTTTTAACTTTACGATGAACCTTTTACACAGAACTATCAACAAACTTGTGTATGATATTTTTGTAAAATACACAAAGTAGCAGATTGTTTATGGGTCTTCAGTTGCTTAAAGATACATTTTTTTTGTATGTCTAATATTTAGTTTTATGTATATAATAATGTTGTACTTTTGTTAGAACCAAGTTAAGTATATTTTTAGATTTCATTGCATGTAACTTTAAAGTTTTCTGGCTTTCTTTCCAATGTTTGGGCATCTTTTATCTTTTATATCATATGTAAAAATACTTTATTGCATCGATAAATCATTTTTGTTCCTAAATATGGTTTAAAATGTTAGTCTATGAACTTTTGGATAAAAATTTTATTTGCCACCTACACCTGTTTATGCTTACTTACATAATGCATAATGTGCTTTTTTAATGCAGCCAGTAATTACTTGAGAAACCAGTTTTATCTTCTTTTGGATATTCTTAATATATTCTATCCACTATCTACTTTTAAACCTTGTGCTACTCTAACCAATATTCTTGTGATGTGTGTGCGCGTGTGTGTTGTAATTTGCTTATGTAATTAATAATGATTTCATTGTCATAAACTAAGTCACTTTTTAAGTTAAAATTAAGTTTGTACATGTATGAAAGTTTGACTTGTTTACAACACTACTGGAGTAGGGATGGTTGGTTGTGCAATAAACTTTCATTAATAGGGTTAAGTGCAACAGCTGCTTATAGATCTTACTAGTTATTTTACACTTTTACAAATATCAAGTTGCATAAAATATTATGATAAAGATTTTCACCCAGATATCTGTTATATACTTTGTTTTACATGATTAAAAATGGACAACAGAAAATCATGGAAAAATAACAAAGTAAAAAAAAAAATGTACTAAAGTTTCATAAATATATTGCCAGTTTCTAAATTAGATTTTTAGTATTTATGCTCTTGATAAGGGTGGGTCAAAATGTGCACGTCACAACCTTTTTACAGTTACATCTAAAATTTAACTACTTTATCAGCAATGTAAATTAATAAAATTAACTTTAACAAGTATATTATAATTAAATCTTTTAATTTCAAAACAAAATAAGTTCTCATTCTTCACTTCCATATCCTACTACACTCTGGATTCTCCTTTTTCGATTTTCTTTCTCTTCTCGTGTAGGTTTAAGAGTATTCACCAATTACATACACTTATACTGACAAGCCTGAGAATAGAATAAGAACCTCTCACCTTTTTTTTTTTCTAAGGTATCAATAAATTTATCACATCCAACACAGATGTACTTCTCAACAGTACATGTTTATAACTAATAAAAAAGCCACTTTGTGATTCTGCTGTTTTTTTCCTGGTGAAAGCAACTAATGATACTAAAGGAGAGTGTAAAAAAAATATATAACAGCCAAACAGTTCACAGGGGCTGTTAGTAGGCTGATTCCATATCTTGCTTCTCAATTTACAAAAAGTGAATTTGTAGTAACTGAATTGTACTGTTTCAATCAACAAAACAGAATTTTGCTGCCCAAAGTGAATCCTGTTTACAGTATGCCACTGAGCTATGATGACCCCCAAACAATATGGCAACCCTTGCAGCCTCTAATGTAAAAGGTAGTTCATCAAATGCAATTTAAGTCATTTATTTGTTGTCAAGTATAAAAGGACCAGTAATGGACCCAAAACAACAGGTATCAGGACAGATTTGACAGGAACTTGCCTGTCAAATGTAAAGGATCAATTTTTAAGTTTTTTTTTAGAAGAGTAACTAAAATGTGATAACTAGGTTTACAAGAAAACTTAAGTGAAATAACATTTCTTGTGATCACAATCCGAGCCTGTGTTTCTCAACTTTTTTGGCCAAACAACACACTAAATATAGCTTAAAATATTAAGGTACACCAAAAGATATAGCAATAGAAACATTTACTTAGAATTTTAGATTATACATGTATTATTCATTATAATTAGTGAGACATTTGGGCCTGGTTTGCTGCACACAGATGCTCGATTCGAGGCTCAATAGTGCTTATGGCTACTCAAAGATATCTGAAATTTTTCCTTATTTATGAAATCAAGACTAACAAGTCTAGCCAATAAAATAAAGTTAGATAAAATCTCTCATGAAAAGTAGAAATAAGTGATATAACACAGCACACCATTTGAGAAACACTAATCTGAGGAACCTGAGGCACATATACTGGGTTATGAAACCTGAATCTGTTTACCCTAAACTGCTGTACTCTAACTGGGTGATATATTGCTTTTTATAGTAGTTAGACATGGTTCAAAGAGCAATAAAATTACATGAAAACAGTTGAAAATGTTTAGAGGCATAAAGCACTCAAGATACATTTCAATTGTCTCTTACAATATGCAATCATTCTAGAAAACAAAGTATTTTTTTAATTTATATATTTTAACTTTCACTACAGATAATTTTGTTACAGTTACTGTTAGGGTAAGGAATAAAAAAAAGATAAAACATATAGTTTTGCCAACAAACTCTTGATATTCATTTTATGAAAAATAGGTTGAAGTTTTTTTCTTACCAAGAAAATTACATTTTACTTTGATTGACTTGGCAAAGGTTACACAAATTCACACCAATTCTTTAGTAGAAATACTTTAATAAATCTGATTTTTATTGTGTGCAACAGACTTCTCGCGTTCACTAAAGGCTTGAAAGCTTTTGTGAGTATATAGTTAAAGTTACAAGGTAGGCCAAAATGATTAAGCCCATATGAATAAGGTTAACCAAATTGCATGAAACTTTAAGCAAACTTACTAAATATCTAGTTTCTGCTTTAAAAAATTTGTTTATATTTTATAATTTTTTTAGGTTATGAAATTTTAAAAACAGTTGTGGAAAATAAACTAAAAGTACTTCCTTTCATCTAAGTATTTCAGTTTTAATTTGACCAATATTCATAAAAATATTTCTTTTAATACTTATATTTCACAAGTTGCAGTAGTTTCCACTTTTGGCTATAAATCATAAAACATGGTAAAACCAACAAAAATTTATTGGTGACCTTGGTCTTAACCTTTCAAAAGTGGCATTACCATTTCCTTTGTCAGGCTATTTATTGTGCTTTTTACTAATAAATTCTTAGTCAAGATCAACATGTATCTAAAAATTTCTTTTTAACAATGAACAAGTTCTTTACCTGTGTGCATTGTTTGAATATAAAAACTTACAATATCCAATAAAAAGATATTTAGATTATCGTAACATTTTGCTATCACTAGATTACACACTAAACCTAACTAAGTTTACCTTATGTTTAGCCATGGAAAACAAATTCCTGTAGCTTTCAAGCAGACATAACACAAATATCTCTACTAAAGGAAACTGTAAAAACATTCCAACAGCTGTGGTTTGTTCCCAAGACTTCTAAACTTCAAACAAAATTCCTTTGTTCTTTCACAAGAACATAAATTGCTGCTCATTAGAGCTTGAAATTAGTGGAAGATGCTGAATGATTAACTGTTAGGCTCATTAACCGTATGTGCAAGAGTAGGGGCTGAAATATGCATACCCTTACCTTATGCAAAGTGCTATTCAATACGTTATGAATTTGATACCAGAATCAAACATCTCATGTTACCCTACATAGCTGATTTTGCAACAGTTTATGTTAGAGTTGAGAAAATACCAGATACATTATTCAGGGATACTGAAAGTAATTCTAAATATGCATTTAATATTTAGAGGTCGTGCAAATGAAATTTGCAAACTGTACAACAAACAAAAGCATATTTATTCTTCACATGCACATCAACTTGCAATCAGACTTGTCAGATTCGGAATCAAATTGGTGTTGGCATTTCAGACGTATTATCTTTAGTACAAAAACTTTAGTAACAAACTTGTACTATTGACTAAGTAAGAGCTTGCCATATTTTAAGATACACTTCATAAATTTGAAATGTTACAGACATTACTTCTTTATTACAGAGTTGGTTCAATGAACCAAACCCATGCACATAGAGTTAATCACATCAGGTATGTAATTATTCTCACGAGGCTTGGATAGTTGGAATAAATCACATATAATTGAAAACACTAATTTCAATTAGTTGGTTACTTTTTGTGACATTAAATACAGTTAATTGCATAGTCCTCTATATTGCATAAATAATTTATAACCTGCTCTAATCAATTATATTTAAATATTGCCTGTAGCTTCATAAGTAATTATTCAGATCACATACTATAATATGATAAAAGGGTGGGAGTGAAGCACTGTAGTAATAAGACCAATAACAGTAAGGAAAATTGTAAGAAACAAGACAAGGATAATTATATTTTCATGAATTGATTATTTCTTAGCAAATATAAAACTGCTTTGGTATAGAAAAAAATAAAAACTGAAAAGATAAAAACAAAAAACAATGTATTACTTACAGGTAAGATTTCTCAGAGACAAGCAGAAATTAAGATTAAACATTTTTTGAAATTTTTCTTTGAGAACTATACAACATTAGCTTTTAAAAATTACAAAATATCAGTTCAAAAATATTTGCAAGTTAACAACTGTTGAGAGAGTTAGAATTATCAATTTACTTCAATTTTGAACTTCGATGATATACAGGTGCGAAACTGCCAAGAGAAAGGTGCTTTGCAGTCCAAACAATGTCAAAGGATGCTGACAGCAAGGATTTTCTTCTAGACAGTGAATATTGGAATTGACATGAATCAAAGATACTGAATACCTTGATGGTAACGAGAAAGATTCAGAGACTAAAAATAAAGCACCAAGAATGGACAAACTTTCCCAAAATGTATAAAGGTAATCAAAAATCAGATGTGTACTTCTTGCAATTGTTACATCTATTTTTAAATGGAGAAATAAGAAATGCCCTAGAAATTATAGGTCAGCTAGTCTTACTTGTGCAATGGGAAAAATTCTAGTATCTGAAAAGAAGCTTTCCAAAATCATTCAGTGAAATATACCATAAGACAGTCAACATGAATTCACTACAGGGATATCTTGTCTTACTAAGGTGTTAACTTTTTCTGTATGTTACATAACTGGACAATGGAAAAACGTGTGGAGTCAGTGCACTTCGATTAGTACCTCATCTAAAGTTTTTATTAAACAGAAAATTAACTAAGGAAATCTCAATGTTGGGGGTTGTACCCTTGTTACCAGTGGAGTGCCTCAGGGATCAATGCTTGGGGCCTTCTCTTATTTAAATTGATATTTATAGGGACATAATTAGAAATTAATGATATTAAACTCTTGGGTATTTCTAGCTATACTGAAGCAGCTGAGGTACTATAGACCCTTGACAAAAATTTGGCAAATGCATTTGGGTTATAATTTGTATCACTCATCTAATACAACTGGGAACCTAATCAATAGCATTATTAAAGAAAAGAATCTTAGCATATTTGTAGATAAGTCACTCAAGTCATCTAGGCATTGCTCTTTTGCTAGTACGAGTAAAGCTAATAGAAATTAAGGGTGTATTTTAGACACTGATCAGATGAGGTAATCACCTGTATACAATCACTAGTTATGCCTCACTTGGAGTAGTATGAACAATTCTGGCTCCTTTTCCAAGAAAGGATACACCTTATTAGAAGGCTAATTCAGAGGAGGGCTAGTAAGATGAATTCAAGGATGGAAGGGATATCTTATGAGAAGAGGTTAAAATCTTAATTTCTTTTTCTCTTGAAAAATAAAAGGACAACCAGTTATTATATTGAAGTTTAGAAGGTTATCCAGGGAGTGGATAGGATAAAGGACTTGCTTATTTGTACAATAATCTGAAGATGAGAGGAGCTAATATTATAGTTTGGAAAAGATATGCTGGACATCAGTTAAGATAGTTACTTTCTTAACAGGAGGATTAAATTATGGAACGCATTACCACCAGCAGAGTAGAGGCTAGTAACTAAGAAGAGTTCAAAAGGGAAAATGATTTCTTGAAAAATCAAGGTGAGTTTAATATTTACTTTTTTTTTGGAGGTGGATGTGGAGACAAAATTAAAGGATCAAGCAGTCCCTATTCTCATGAACTTCCATTAACACCACATGGATTATAACCTCCAAAAACTCTTCTTCATATTAAAAGTTGACCCTCTGAAGAGAGATAGGTCAAAGTGTGAATGTAACCAATTTTTAGTTGCATTCAAAACTGAATTAAATTACTTTATGATCAGTGTATATCACAACAAAATTGGCATCAAAATGTAGTTAATAAATCAACTTTAATATTATACACATTTTAAATTCTTAATTCCAAATGAAATATGTAAATAAATTCTCAACCTTCACTTGTCTATCACGACACTCGTTAACTCCAAACCGACCACTTTTGATTTTCTCATCATCTCTATATGATATCTGGAGTTTAACATACATTATTTATAGTATAGACTAATAGAAACTGTTAAAATTTGACAAAGTATATAGAGTTGTGGTATTTCACTTAATTCACATTCTCATTTAACCACACACGTTTAAATATTTGGCCACTAAGATATGCTCTTTCTAAAAGTTCTTTTAAAACTAAAAACCATCTCAGGCAATGTTGATACTGTGAGTACTCACTCCTCCCTCAAAAGTTTTAGTGATTCATGTTTTTACTTGTTAACAGAATACTGAATTTTGTAAACATAATTTTTCCAAAATTACACAGCAAGACTACTTGTAACCCCCAAAACATGTTCAAAAATGCTTATTGCACATGAGTTTTGTTTAAAATAGAAAAATGTAAGATTATTAACATAAAATGGCAAACTATGTTCTAAAAATTAGTTTTTAAAAAAGATCATTTTTGGTACTAAAGCATTACATACAGTAAGTATCATACACCCATAAGAGGCACTCTTAGTTGGCCTTACAACTACACATAACTGTTTATTTTTTAGTGTTTCAATATATTTGTAATATTTCAAGCCATGGTCTAAAACTAAGTTACAATCTGCTGTCGTTCTAGAAACAAAAAGGGATAATTTAGATTCATTTTATACTTTTGGGGGGGGGGGGCGGTAACAAGGTTGTTCAAACAAACTGAGGCCTTACAGTGTTATGGTACAGAAATTAACATATAAAATTTAGTTTTACTGAAAAAATCTTGTTCATTTAGGAGGTTGTAGAACTTTTGCAAATGAAATCTGAAAATACAGAGACCTTTAACCTTAACATGAAAATCACTTTGCACACAGATTAGTTATAAAGTTCTGAGACACTGACTCCATAAATTCACAGTCAAATCTTTAGTAAAAAATACTTAATTAAACAATTTGATTTTTATATCTAAAAGACTTGTAGTGTGTACTAAAAGCTTGCCTAAGCTTGTAAAGATGATAAATGCTATATTTTCATGGTTACTTGGTGGATGTAAGGTCAGTCAAAATAACGAACTCGTATAGAGTTAAGGGATATTTACTTAACATTGTTAACCATATCAACACAGGTCTACTTATGGTCATAGGTTAAAGGCCTTGTCATCGCATTTGTCGATTCCTATTCATAATTTTATTAAACTACTATTTTATGAATGTATGTCAGTACGTTTGGTATCAAATTGTAGTATTATATGTTAGTTAATTTCTTAATTTAAAAGTAAATATTAAAAAAAATAAAAAATGTATCAATTTTTGTGTGTCACGTGGTATGTTGAATGCAGCATTTGTTCAAATTAGATATTTGCGATGTCCAAGTACAGTCTGTAGTTTCTTAAGAATTAGATACTCAAATTACCGATACTGACAACCTAGAATCTAAGATAAGAACCTCTTATCTTTTCTGTTTTCCTGAGATATTAATACATTTATTGAATCAACCAAGGTGGCCCCGCCCAACTCTAACTTGCTTACGTACACAAACTTTGCCCAGTGACACGTGTATGCTCAGAATGTCCCCTTAGTGATTTTCTCAGCCTCAATGATAAGACATTTGTGAGCTTGAAAAGTCATTTTCTAGACCCAAATACATCTTAGTTACAAGCTTGATAAATCATAGTGAAATCCTGTGATATTGATATAGTAATTTAGGTTTTTTTTTTGTTATTTCAAAAGGCATATATAAAACCTAAAAAAAGTAATTTGTTTTACATCCTTCACGTGTGAAACTTGATATGGCTTAGCAACTTACAGCAAGCAGCCAATGAGTACAAAGTACGCAACTACAAGAGATAATTGTTTCTATACTTTATTTACTGTTCTATGTTTTAAGAAAAATAACTGAAATTTAAGGACTTATTTGTAAATAGTAATAATGATGTAAATATACTTTAGTAAATATATTTTACAACATATTAAAATCTTTTAAAAGTCTAATTTTATGTCATAGATTAACAATTATTTATTGATAGTATTAAGTACAGTAAAGTTTAGCCATAACTAAATCAAAAAATGTTCACTGAAAACAGTGAAGTTGTAGCATGCAAGCATTTGTTTAGTTCTGTATGGCTCTTGTTTACACTCCGACTAGCTAACCTGTCTAGTAAGAACTTTGAAAATCAGCTGCTGCTGAAACGAAATAAGTGGAGTGTGTGAAAAGCTATACCACAGACAGTAACGCTGATTGTTTTAATGAAAATAAAATAAAGTTTGTTGAGTTTATATTTGGTAGTACCTTTTATGTGTAAATTTAAGTTGAATGTATGCTAGTTTTAATAATGCTATCATTACTTGTTTTTTGTTGATACTCCTCACTTTATTGCTACTCAAACACTATATATATATATATATATATATATATATATATTACTAGTTAGTTTTACTTTAAGTAGT